GTTTAACACCAGATAATTTTACTTGTCAAATCAATCAATGGAGAAAACCAATTTTAACTCTCCTACCTGACCATATCTCTTGCTATCTACAATATAAACAGGCTTTGACATTATATTGTGGCTATTTTAGGAGAATTTGTTGTTGAAGAACTGGTCGCCAGGTACTTAATTTGTAATTTATGTTGGTATTTTGGTTGTTCCAAATAATGAAAATAAAAATTCCAATTCGGTCACAACACGACATCAGCTCACTTGCACTGATATATCGCCGTAAAATACTGAAATGTTGATTTTATCATAATTTTAATGCTAATCAAAATCTTCACCTTAATTAAGCTTCTCATTATAAGCTCAATTATTGAGTTGATTGTGGGAAATCAACATTCCTCCAATATTTAGTCTAAGTAGGCTATATTGTTCATGCAAATTGACAGTCAATCAAATATTAAGAGTGGTGATATCACATTTGAGTTATTTTGCTCTTACATGTAACAGGATAAATAATAATTAGCACTGTACTAATATTACTGTGACAAAGTGTTATGACAGGAAACCCTTTGCAGTGCAAGAGCAAAACTTGACAAATTTGATAGCATAACATTGTTGACGTATTAAAGTGGCTAAAGGCCGGCAAGGGCAATCACGGGCTGCAGTACAGCTGAATCATGATCCCGCCCCCACACACATGCGCTTTGGTAATTATGCACTTTGGCAATTACCCACGATTACCCTTGTCCGCTTTGGCACTCCGGGCCTCTCGCCGGCCTTGCCTGGGTTCAAGAATTTCACTTACTTTGTTATTTCTGTTAGTGTCTAACAGCATTGTTTTAATTGAATGGAAATGACAATATTTATATGTACTATAGACATAAAATATATTATCTAGAATATTTTCTATATTGCTTACATGTATATATTATCTACACTCTCTATATTGCTTATATATTAAGTTCTTTGAATGTTTGCATGGCAGTAACAGAATATATAAATTTGTTTTGTAGGTACATGTAACACCACATAAAAATTATTTCTGCATAGCTTTCGATCTGTATGCCCGGATTATTTGCACTGATTAAGATCTGGGCACACAGATTGAAAGCTATGCAGAAATATTTTTTATGTGTGTTCTTAAATGAAATAATATGTATTGCTTATATATTATCTACAAAAAAAATTAAATTATATTATTTTATTGTCTAAATAGTTTGTATATAGTTTTAATAATAATTATAGTTTTAATGTATCTGTATACAGTATATCCAAGACTATGAATAAAGACATAAATCATAGTTACTTACTACTGTAAATACAGTGCCGTAACAAGCTCGATAATTGGGGGGCTGATATTCATATATTTGTGTTCTGCATTATTAATGTCTTTTGAAATCGATTGTTTTTATGGTCTGTGAACACAAATATATGAATATCAGCCCCCCCCCCCCAATTATCCAGCTTGCTACGGCACTGAAATATTGTACTTTCTATATCTCATGCTAGAATTATATATCTGCATTTAATACAGATTCATTGAATATACATTAAAAGTGTGTTTTTTGTTTGATTATATATGTGGCAAACACCAGTAGTTTTTTGTAAGTTTTACAGTTGTGCCAATCAGATTTTATTTTTTAGCAATCTGAGGGGTCAATGAAACAGGAAGTTAGGAATTCCTCAAAAGTTAGGAAATGAATTGATCAACATTTTTCAGAACACTTCTATTGGCAAGACTGTAATTTCATGGTTAGAAATATATTGCAATTTTTTTCTGTGTTGGTGTGATGTACTCAGGTGAATATAATGCTTGTGATGTTACTCTGAGTGTATATCCACACCGGGCAAGCTTGAAAAATATGCCTGACCACGGTGGGATTCGAACCTACGACCTTTGAAATACTAGCCCAATGCTCTGCCAACTGAGCTACGCGGTCTGGTCGGTTCGAGTATGTGATATTTCGGAACAGAATCTAGTTCCTTCGATATCAATGTTATCTAATGATAATCATGATTTTTTTCTGTGTTGGTGTAATGTACTCAGGTGAATATGATGCTTGTTCGCACATATTTACATTTTACTCTTTTACTGTCTGATGCCAAGTGATTTTATTGGCCGAAAGGGGAAAATTTTTCAATTAATATAGATTCAAGCAAATCAAGGAGAATGGAAGGAAAAGGGAAATACAGGGAAAAAACTTCAAACTGAACAAAGAATAATTATTACTGATTCATGATTCATGACCATATGCATTGCATGCATTTTAATTAACCTTTTTGGCCTAATATTTCAATAGATACAATAGTTCTATTAAATAACTAGAACATAAACAAGGGCAAAAAGGCTAATTAGAAAGTACAAAAGTCATAACAGCATGGAATTACTATCCCCATGCACCTATCAACTTTAAACTACAGATGGGTTTGTACTGTACAACTTGTATTCCTGTTAAAGTAATTAAAATTGCCACTGTTGTGCACTTTTTTGACAGTCAAAACTTGTACAGTAAGCAATTCAAATACCTTAGGAAACACCAGTGGTTTTATAATGAGGGTCTGATCATATGAGTCCATCTTTGTCTGCCGGGCTTGCCCAGTTAGCCGGCAGGCTCATGAGTGCAGAGATCCTGCCAGTGTTTTCATACATTTTAGAAATTGTGTTCATGAGGAAGCCGGGCTTGGACTGCCTTTCCCAGGACTCGCTTGAGCAAGCCAGTTACCAGGCTAGCCCGTTTAATATGAAACAAATAAAAACAGCTCAGTAAGCAGGGCCAGCTGGGCTAGCCCGGAAGAACCGGGCTAATATGAACAGACTTGCTTATTCACTCAATTTGGTGTACCACTTATGACATCAGGGTTTAAAATTGGTAGGTGCATGTGTGAAAATCTATTCTATATGATTTCTGTTTAAAAGAGCTTGAAGGGTTGCATCCAAGGAGAAATCGCTCTTGTCATACCTTTGTACATAAAATAATATGGTCACTTTTTCCTGCTTTAAGTGAAAATCAAGAATAATTGGAGTCGTTGAGGTCACGACAACAGCTGCCCTTCCTGAATATTTAAAAATGTTCCTTCCATTTTCCCTGATTTTGTCAAAGTGCCGTTTCATTAATAAATTGTCGCCTTGACATCGAACTGGAGAGAAGACCTTTGCGGCAGTATCCATTTTAGAAATCTCTACAGATATACGACCTTTCTTGGTGGACATCGAGCCGCCGTATCCGACAACAATATTGCAGACATGCCGAAATATAGGATACGGAATAAAAAGCTTGACTGGTGGCATGAGACCAGTATTCCTCGACCTTCCGAGTTTCGCAAACATTGCCCTGCCAATTTCGGTAAGGTAGGAGTCGATGAGCGGCCCAACAATTTCCAATTTATAGGAAGCTCGCTCTTCTAAAATCGGATCGAGATTGCGCATTCCCATATTCGGTTTGCTCTGGCATTTCCATACAGCGTCCAGCCATTTTCGCTCAACACCAAACTTCAACTCCACTGTTGAAGCATTCCAAAACCGTTTCGACCTTTCGGTGTCGTCGCCAGAAGAGCCAAGTTTAAGATTTGAAAAGCATTCAGCAAAATCACTGCTTGGTTCCGCCATGTTGTTCGAAATTTTGGAGGGAAATGGTAAAAACCGCTGCGCTAATCGCGCCCGCGCTTCCGGGAGCAAAATGCATGGCAACCGACCACGTGATATAATGTTGGGTTTAGATATTTGTAAGTCAACGAGCATTAGATATAGTTCGATATTCCTATAGTAATATAGCAGAACACTTAATTTAGATTTTTTGTTTGACCTAATGCGCATGTGCAGTTAGGGATGGGCTACAAATTTTTGAAAAATTATAACCAAATATCCCAGTGAACATATAATAGCTCAAGATGCCAGTATGAAACAAGGGTACAGCTAGGTTTTACATAGTAATTTATTAATATGCAAGTCGTTTCATATTATACAATGTAATATTAGGCATACATTTATCATGACATATTCACCATTTTTGTTTTAATTAAATCATCCCATTGCTTCCTTGCACAGTCATCACAAGCCAACTTTTAATTTCGTTTCGGCTTTGCCTTCTCTTTCAATATATTATTCTGCGGTTCCCATTATTTATAGCTTGAATATTGTAGGAATCTTTGCATGGTAAAGCAGACTACGCCAGTCGCCATTGTTTACATGATGTGAATATAATAGACTAGATGCTTTCTTTGGTTGGCTTATCGCAGTGCAAAAACAGACCTGTAGATTTCAGAGAAAGAAAGTATTGTAGATAACGTATGAATTAGTCACAATAGCGGTAAATTTTCTCGTTAATGTGCAAGATCCGGCAGTGAATTCGGATTCAGAAAACCTTAAGAATAACTTATGGCGAGCATAGTGAGCTTAAACGTGATAAAAACAGGCAGAATTTAAAGACAACTTTTTTATTATTTTTGTTACAGTAATATTTTAACAGGAAGTTCCAATCACATACGTGGTTCTGCTGGAGGTCCTGCATAAAAAAGTACTATGTATAATACATTAAATAACAAGTTAGTACCTAAACAAACATTATAATTACGTTATAAAAATTTGTTGTAAAAGTATATAAAAATCCTGTCCGACATAATCAATGTATCTGTGCAAGAAATATTCTTAATTGAATATTTAGATTTTATTATTTAAGCACTCTATTTTTCTGAGAGAATAATCAAGATTATTCCAATCTTTAAAAATGTGATAAACAGGAACGTACTAGTTAAGGACGAGCCAACGAGAACTCGCTGTGGGCCCCAGCCATCATGGGTTCCAAAAATTAACATTGGAAAAGAAAAAAATATAGATTTTAATTTTCAAAGTCAAGATTAAGGTATTACAATTTATTAATTGTAAAAATCAAAATTTACGATAATATAACCGAAAAATTTTCGTTCGTACGTCGGACGGAAAAATAACAATATGTCCGGAAATATTTTTGTATTCCAAGCCGGATAAAATCACGATAAGACGGGAAAACTTTTTGTATGTTCGGAAAAAATTGGCGATCTCTTAGCCCCCCACCCCTCCCCCGCCTCTCGCCAACAATTCTTGGGAAAAAATATTAATATTGGTCCATCGGTCACTGGGCCTGGGCCCCATCAGACGTTGTTTATTCGTTGTATTTATTAAGGTGCCAGCACTTCCCTGGTCATAAATACAGCTTTGCTGACACCAATTACGATTAGTTAGTGATAATCGAACATTGCATGCCTCGTCTTTTAGATTTGGTGTCATGGTTATGAACGTTTCTGTTAAGCTTAACGTCCAGGTTGACAATGTCAGGATGACCCAGCCTAGACCTAGGCCTTCTATTTTTATTGATATTTTTTTAATATTCAGCGCTTTTTCACATGAAAAGACTGGGACTAGGTGATTTGGGGGCGGGGCGGAGGAAGAATACAAGCCTGACGCAAGCGAAAAAATAGAAGGCCTAGTGGATTTCCCAACAACAAGGCCAAAACTGCCCTGAAACTGCCCTGATTGCGAAATGCCCAATTGTTGCGTTCTCAAACAGAATTATTTGCGACTTAACAGCGAATTTAAACCGATACAGGTAAAATAAACTCATTTATAGTATAACTTACTATTTTTATTTGTATACACGTCTAGAAAATCGGGATTTTTATCATAAAGTTTGAAGCAACACTATTATTATGTTGACAAGGTGAAGCGAAAGCACAAAATAATAATTCTTTTATTCGCAAGACAATCTACTGTTTTGCTTTGAATAACTATATTTGGGAATGAGGAATTTGAAATTATTGTTCACATATTACGGATATACCATTTGTAAACAATGTACGTTTTTATATACAGTACTGTACGGGCTAATAATATATGTATCCGTTTTATTTAATAAATTATAATTGTATATGTGTTTGTATATTTTACAAACACAAGACTGCTTCTTGCCAAAATTGAGAAAATATATATTAATGTAGTTGTGTATAAGAGAAAATTTCATGAAAGATTCTACTTTTGGTATATATTTTGACTCATTTTGTGCTTTCGCTACACCTTGTCAACATAATAATAGTGTTGCTTCAAACTTATGATAAAAACCACGATTTTCTAGACGTGTATACAAATAAAAATAGTAAGTTTATACTATAAATGAGTTTATTTTACCTGTATCGGTTTAAATTCGCCGTTAAGTTGCAAATACTTCTGTTTGAGAACGCAATAATTGGGCATTTCGCAACCAGGGCAGTTTCAGGGCAGTTTCAGGGCAGTTTTGGCCTTGTTGTTGGGAAATCCACTAGGCCTTCTAGGCTTGCTTCCTCCGCCCCGCCCCCAAATCACCTAGTCCCAATCTTTTCATGTGAAAAAGCGCTGAATATTAAAAATATATAAATAAGACTAGAAGGCCTAGGTCTAGGCTGGTCTAAAGCCACTCGCGCTGCGCGCTCGCGGCTTTAAACCTAATAAAACACTCCTGCCCATTTTTAAAATAGTACATAAAGTTCTAGCAGGACATCTCTTGGAACAGCTCCGGTATTAGACCCAATTTCAAACCGAATTTCATTGTATTTACCAGCATCCACTCGTATTTGGCTTTCAATGTCGTTGTATTTTGTTGTAGTCGCGAAGAGAGGTCTTGTTCCATCAATCGGAAGGGAAGTGATGACAGCACTCCTATTTCCGTACGGTCCAATATTATGCTGACGATTCACAAGGTTACAGCTGACTGTGAGATATCGCAAGCCTTCGTGGATGTCTACGGAACGATCGCTGATGTGTGGGGGTGTATGTAGGACCATTGGAGGACCGATATCCTAAATACTCGCAGGATATCGGAGTCCTGCGGAATTTGTTCCCTTATAGCAAAGTCGATCCTTATTCTTCCATCGGGATATTCCTTAAGTGTTAATCCGTTTTCCTCCAGTTCTTTCCGCAGCTGTTTAAAGATCC